GCGGCCGCTCCTGCTACTGCTTGGCAGCGACGACGAAGACGACGACTACTATTGCTACCACTACTATTTGTGCCACTCTTCCGGCTTCTCTTGTTACTACTCTTAAGATTTCTAGTAATACTCCGCACTAACGCCTGTTCTTACCACTCTTACTATTTCTAGTAGCACTCCTGACTAACGCCACTACCACGACGACCACGACTAATGCTGCTATTGCTAGAGTTATTCACATAGGCATTTTTCTGCCAGCGCTACTGTTGCCGTCATTGTTACTATCCCATCAGATTTTTTTAAGCAGCAGTTGCGACAGTGTGGCGGTGGTGGTGGTAGTGAGGGTGAAATTGTGGCAATGGTCAGTAATGGTCATGGTCGTGTCATCGCAGAAGTAGCAAGCAGCAGACGATTCGTTGCTGGTGCTAGCATCGTCAGGTGCAATGTAGTTTGTTCTTGTGATTACTGTGTGATTCGTTTCTTGGTGTTTTGAACATGGACGTTAATGACTGAGTTAAGTTTACTATGATCATCGTCCTTCTCGTTTCAAGATTGAATAGTTTTCTTATAGTCTCATAGGTTCAACTCCTTTCAAGGATGCTTATCATCAGGTGCCTCGTTGGCTACCTTTGTTTTTTTTTGGAAGCGTATGGTTTTTTTCTGTGGTTTGGTGTCGTAGCAGAGACTGCTTATAATTCGCTGTGCAATTTGCCATACAAGTAGTGTTGTGGTTATTTGTGCGCTAAGTGTGAAGATGGTTGGAAAACAGATGGTTGTGTGGTACCGTTTGGGCGACTGGTGGGTTTCTTCCACCATACACCGAATTTGCTGCCTGTAAGCTATCAAAGACTTCTATCGCTACGTGCGTCAGATGCATTTCTCGTAAGATACTACTGGAAGGAGCTGTGGGTGTAGAACCGAGGGCCATGGCTTCTGTTTCATTTCTTGGCAGATGTTTGTAGTCGCATGCTGCATCGGTTGTTACGGTAGACATGCTTCTGCGAGTATGAGCCGAACCCACTGAAGTGGGTTTAGGGTTTAGGGTTTTAAGGTCCTTGTCAGCAACGTGGTGTGATCGTTGGAGAGTGGTAGTCATGCTTCCAGGGTGAGAAGCTCCCGGAGCAGTGGTGACAAAGTTCATGCCGTCCAGTCATCTGCTCGCTCCATGTATGGAAATAGTGTGTGTATGTATGTGTGTATATGTATATATATACATATATATATATAGTTGCATATATGTATGTATATGTATATATATATATATACATATGTATATATATATATATGTATATATATGTATATATATATACACACTTGTTTACAGTTGTATATATATATACACATAGCCATATGTGTATATATATATATACATATGGTTATATATATATATATATGTCTATATATATATGTGTGTACATACATTATACCTATAATATATATATATATGTATGTATGTATGTATGTATGTATGTATGTATGTATATATATATATGTATATATATTCTCCTACTATCCACCATGGTCCACATGTTTGGGTGTTGCATTGCAAGTAAGCGTGCCGCTAGCTGCGGACGGGGTGGCAAATGAAGGAGGTTTCACTGTCGAGGTAGGATGCTGCCGCTGCTATGCGGCAGATCAGGAGCTAGCTTTCAAGACCAGAGTGCTTCTCCCCACGCAGAACGGTCTGAGTTTCTTCGTGCTTGCAGGACCTCGGTAGCTGAAGTGCTTGCAAGACCCCTGCGTGGACTGGCGGTCTTTTGATGCTTTCGCGAATCTTCATCCCAGTTGCTGCCCAAAGTGGCTGGCGATCTGAGCCCTGGCCGACCTGTTCTAGAGTCCTAGCGGATCATAGGCCAGTTCACATTCCGAAATGGATTGAAGAATGCGGAACATGTATGTTTACATTGACGCAGTAGCCGCCGTTGTGCTTCGTCTGCCTGGTGCAGCTTCCGTAGAGACACCTCGAAAATCTTCGGCGCCTCGCGCATGCACATTACGTGCCGAAGCAAAAAAGGTTCCATTAGGGGCTGTATGAGGACGAAAACAGACTGGAGTGGTGGTTGAATGGTGCTGATTTTCCTCCGCTTCTGGACTTCCTACTGTTGCTGCGAAGAATGACTAATGCAACTACGTCTCACACTATTGATAAGACAAAGGATAGTGACTATGCCAGTCATACAGATGCCGGTCGCACTTAAACAGTCTCTCGTAACCCGGTGATGCTCGCAAGCCACCACGTCTGCAGACAGGGCGTGCTGCTCGAGCATGGGTGTGTATGGTTCTAGCCATCTCTGACTCACTTGTTCGCAATGCCACCATGAATCTATTTTGAGCGGCTTCCTGCAACTTTTTGACCCTAGCCAACGGCCTTCTACATCTACATCGACTTTCGATTTGTTGACTGCACTCCGTTTCTTTGGAGTCTCGACTCCACATCTTGAACACTCACAGGCCCAGAGCCCAAAACCCAAACCCAAAAATCCCAAAAACCCGCTTGGAAGCCATGGCTAAGATCCGGGCAAAGTCGCACTTCGATTCGATGGCAGCTAGAGGACCTCAGCAGCCACGTCACGCGTGACTGTGGTGTGGAAGGTTGAATAAAAGGGTTGTCACAAGCAAGATTGCTGCGCCACAGCAGTGCGAGAATGTGTGTTGTTCCTGATGCGTTCTGGTTCCTTGGAAACGATGTACTGTGGGCAATTAGCATCATTTGTTGCTGCCTCGGCGTGAAATTTTTGGGTTTCCAGCAATCCGGCATGAAGCTCAACATGCACTTCATGTCTGTGACATGTTATGCACCAGAATGGCGGTTGGATGCAAACAACGTAGGCTGGGGTTAGTGTATGTTGCTTTTTCCAGCAAGCATATGCACACAAAAGTTAAGACATAGCTACAGTTCGTCCGAGCATCATGCAGGGATGGCATGTATGGAATTAAGCTGGCATCAATTCAGCGTTCAGGTTGCCATAGGTCAGAAGCAGTCAGCAGCAAGCAGTTTCGAAGTTGGCTGTAAGTTCCGCACTTCATCTCATCAGGAAGCTGGAGACCAGATTTTGGAATGCTTGCGCAGACAGTTGTTAGCGCAGGTCGGGTTTGGGCTTCAGGTACGTGGCGGGGGTTGGGCCGCAAGGTTTTGGGCAGGGTACACTGCTCAGGCATGGCTGCGTATATGCCTCGAGCCATCTCGGCGCCAGCGGTAGTGACAATGACCAAGATTCGATTCAGTCATGAGCAATGCTGCGAGGGTTCTACGTTAGCGGCTGCCCTTTCCGTTCAATCGCGGGGGACGGAGAAAGGGGAATGACGAATTTACCGAAGGTTTTCCGTACGTCGATTTTGGACAGTCCCTGTCTTTTAACGCCAGGGAACTGCCTTCTCAAAGAAGCTTTGTCTGCATCCAAATTGCTCGATGCTACATCTTGAACACGCACAGCCCCAGAGCTCAAAACCCAAACCCCAAACCCAAAACCCAGTATGAAGCCATGGCGAAGATTCGGGCAAAGTTGCGCTTCGATGGAGGCTTGAGGACGTCAGAAGTGACTGAAGAGATGTGCTTTGTTGCCAGGACCGTCGTTAGCATCAGCATCGTCCCCATCATCGTCGTCATCATGACCATCATCATCATCATCTTCTTCTTCATCATCATCAGCAGCAAAGCCATCATTTTAATTGTCATCAAAATACTCACCAGCATCATCATCAGCAGCATCTCCATCACCATCATCACCATCATCATCATCATCTCATCATCATCATCATCATCATCATCCTCGTCACAGGCATGATCAATCATTTTCGTGGGCCGTCGCAGTCACATCATTACAGGTCTCGGCATCACACACGAGAGTCCCTTGGCTCTTGGTGCTGTTTGGCTGTTCCGCAGCGCCGAGTTTTGCAGGATCCTGTCGCGTGGCTTGCCGCCTCTCAGCCGGTGTCGGCATTTTCTTCCATGCACCCCGGCTTGAGGGTTTTAAAGCCCCAGTTCCCAAACACCGGCTGCTGATGCCAAGCCGAGCCCTAAGCCTGAAACCGTCCTTGTTCGGCACGCTTCGAACCTCCTGTGCACGCGCACTTCACTTGGGGCTTCTTCCAACGAAGGCTGTTTGGTTCCTACGCTGACTGCCAGCACCAGCCGCGTCACAGCCCACAAGCGTAGGTTCAACGACCCCTTTTTTTTGCAGCATGGGCTTATCGCTCTTTTTTCAATTCGGCTGCATCACGGCGGGTCCTTGCAGAGAAGCATTGCTTGCACGCGCCGGGAAGTAGCTACAACATTCGAGATTTCACTGTGCATACTTAGGACGTAAGGTGCCTTGAAGAAAGCATCGGATACGAGCCTGCATCACACACGTCCGCATTGCTTTGCTGGCAGTGAGGCCGGCCGTACTTCAGAGAGCAGCGGAGGAGCCGGGTGTTCCACTCTTCGGCAACACAACGACGTAGTCAAATCAGTTCCAGGTACAACGACGGTGCTGATGACAGCGCAGACAACACTGACGGGATGTTACCGGGATGTTGACGAGCCATCACAGCTTCTGCCTTTTTGCTTTGCGGCTGCGACGATGTCGACTGTGACGACGACGACGTCACCGCCTCCATCCTGACAGCCATGCTGCTGCTGTTGGTGCTGCGACCACTGCCTTTCGTACTTGTTGCTGCTTGGTCCGCTTTTTGCATGCAGTCTTGTCAAGAGTCTTGTCTGATGAACGTCCTTGCCGAAGACTGTGAATGACTGGGCTATGGTGCTTCTGTGTTCTTCTACTGCCGTATGCAGTTGTTGCCGGCGTGGCATCGTGGGACACCGTCCAAACTGTCGTAATGGTAGTCTTTCCGACGAAGAGGCCGCTGGGCGTTGAGGATCTAAGATTCTGGGTATCCAATAGCTACATTGCTACATGCCCTCTCCGACATCTAGTTCAAGGATTTCGCATCCCGGATCTTGCACCTCAGAGAAGCTCATCAGAATAGCAACAGCAAGAAGTAGGCGGTAAGAATGTCACAGCAACAGGATGCTTCGGCACATGATGGCCCCTCCTGAGCTGTTGGAGATCGGGTCGCACTGCTGCTATGGAGGGACCGTCTACCGCTTTGAGACTTGGCCTGGGCGGTTCCGAGCTCGGGGCTTTAGGGCTTAGATTCTTGCCTTCCTGGGCGGGGGGGGGTTTGGGTTTCGGGAAGGTTCCACGGCTGCGGATGTGCTGGCCGTAGAGCTGCGGAAGATCTTCTTTTGGCAACAACTGCGACAACTGAGGCTGTTTCTTGCAGTGAAAGTGGCAGCATGAGAACACCGCGCTTGCTGATTGCAACAGCAGTAGACATGGCACTTCTAGAAGTGCCTGCTGTGTTGCGGTTAAGTGTCATCTTGGCTATGGGTATTGAGTTTGTTCCATGAACGTGTGGCGGCACATTGAGGTTCTTAGGTTCCGTACAAGGAGGCATTGGTATCATCGCTTTCCTGCCTCTGCCTCCGAGGATGTGCGGTTCATTGTGGGCTTAGGGTTTCGGGTTTAGGGCTTGAGGTTCGGCTTTCGATAGGTTCGAACGGTCGAAACACTATTCAGCCTCTCTACCTGCGGAGGAACCACTTGGAGGCGCATTCCCCCCCCCCGCCCTTCTTCATTGTATCCTGTCGTCGTGGTGGTGCTGGTGGTCGTTCTCGTCGCCGTCGTCCTGCTTCCGGGGTGGACTGTTCGGGGACCAGCGCTGGCATAATTGTACATTGTACCCGAGTATCTTGCTTTTGGCTACCTTGTTATTATTGTGATGCTTGAAGCTTCCAACACCCCATTCCATGGCCCGTCTCAGGAGCACATCAGCCCAGTGTCTCGGCATGGGTTCGTATAGTGAAGCAGCAGCTGCTTCTTGCTGCTGGTCCTCGTGCCTGTCTTTTATTTTTCGGTCCCGCAAACTGCACTGCTGCTGCTGCAGCTATGCTGTAATATAATCCTCACAGTAGCACCAGTCATCGTCATCGAAAGAAGGGGAATGGTCAGGACGCCTGTAGGAATCGTCATCGAGCTTGTGATCGGTGCATCAACGATCGTCGCACTCGGAAGACTGCAGTCGGTGTCCACTGCAGATGTTTTTATCTGCAGGTTGCGCTGCTCTGCTCTTCCTGACATCAAGTCGCTGCCGCCAAAGAAGACCTTCATGCCCGAAAATTGGCCCCTGCCCACGCAGATCTATGTATGTTGGCTTCCCGAAGCGAGCTGCAAAGGTGCTGGGCTACTGCTCGATGAAGCTTTCGGCCTTCGTGCCGAGCGCTCCACCAACGAAGCGCCTTGGCATCACGTGCTGTCGACTTGCGGAGGCTTTCTGCAGCCTAGGAGGGCTGAGGGTGTTCAGTGGTGGGGATGTCTTGAGCACAACCAGGTGTCATGTGATCTCGAGGCACGTCAGAGTGGGGCGGAGCGGAGTTGGGGAGGTCGGGTTGCTCACGCGATGAGTTCAATTCCGCTTTGGTCGCAAGGCGCCGGGACCTTGCGTGTTCCGGATTTCGTTTTCGATTCCTGTCAAAGAGAGAGCTATTCCGTACATCAACGGGTGGCCTGCCCCCAAATTCTCCTAAGCGCAGCTCATGAACTGCCCAGCTTGCTTTGAGCAGGGATAGCGGCCGGGAGTGCGTTCGCACGAACCGGTCCGTGAATTACCTGAAATCTGAGCCGAGTGTGCTGCGCTCAGGTTCCCAGGGGTCAGCACCTTACAGCCTTCCCTGGGCCCTTGCTGCAGAGCGTGTGTGCATTGCATGTTGGTTTCATCATATTCTGGACTGACGATCGGAATTTTAGTTGGTCTTAGATTTACCGTCACTTACAGTTCCTAATTAATTGCCTGCACTCGGAAGGTTTATCAGTACGGCTAACAAAACACCACCAAGTGTGCAAGTGAACACCAAGCCATCTTCGAAGCAGCTACCGCAGCTGTGCTTTCGTTACTTTAGTCTGGTTGCGGGTGCTGCTACGACATGGCGGATGCTGAGGTGATCTGGCTCTCCGGCCTCACCTGCACCGACGAGTCCTTTGCCCAGCGCGGGGCCGGCCTCGCCATGGCGCAGCGACTGAAGCCTGGGCCTCGGCAGCCCGGGAGGACTACAAAAGGGCTTCGGAGTGCGGGATTTCTGAGTTTAAAGTCTGCTATAGACTTAGATATTGTCATACTACCATGCTTGTGCATGCTAGGTTCGTCAGCTTGAAAAGGGGGAGGAGGAGGGCGACAGCATGCAGCAAGGGTAGAAAAATAGTCGTCATCGAAGCAGCAGCAACAGTAGTAGTCGTCGTCGTCGTAGTAGTACTAGCAGTA